TTGGAATAGACTATACTTTCACCGGGGAAACATGAACAAAATGGATATTTACATCAACACTAAATTTTGCTCGTGCCTACAGAGCTAGTTGGATTAAAACAGATGTTAAGAAGTAAGTGAAATTGTGAACTTTGTGAATTATACTTTCATTAAAATGTTTCGGAAGGTCTGCTAATGTCAAACTACACGTGTGACAGAGCTGTCAGTATACCCATATTTCAATGTTTATGTTGAAATGACCTATCTTCTTTGAGGTATAGCTTAAAATTTAGGGTATGCTCATCACTTGAAACTAGCTTCAAATCAAAGTTTTATCTATAGTCTTTATATTAGAATTAAAATCATTCATGGGAAAAATGTGCCAAAGGGTTGAAATTGCCCTTGTAAATGTACACTATTTTTGACATGCTTGGGTTAGTATTTTGAAAAGGTGTTCTGGAAGGAAAATATGTCTTGAACAATACTGGTTGAGCCTTAAATTATAACTAGTGTTATGTAAATCACAGAAAATTGAAATAAATCTGGTCCATACACAATATTTTGGACCCTATGAGGTCCCGAATGGGGCTTATTTCAATGTTGGATCTGTTTACCTGGAAAAACTTAGAAAATTGAATAAGTCAAGAATTTGACTATCTCATCACCCAAAACCAGGTTTTTCTAATTGCTTTTTCACCTGGGTTTGTGGCAATGCCAGTTATTCGACCACGAAAAATGCGCGCGGCACTTTTTTTGGACACTGAAGATGGTAACATTTGATGTTGTCATATATTGCCATCCTCTTATCGTAGCATAACTTAACTTATTTTAGTGAATTTGTTAAAGAGTTGTGTTCACTATATGCTTGTAATATCTAAGATTTTTTCATAGCATTATGTGATAAATTTAAGTTCTGTTTTCTTTTATTTTTAGGTGATAGTATCTATTCACTCCAGTGTTGGTATCAAATTTTGATCAAGTTTCGATTATTATTTCACATTCCTTTATTCAAATATCCAAATAAATGGAATATGACATCAAGCTGGAGGACTAGATCCTGTTTTCAAACTTGTTTTTTGTAAAAATAGAAAATAACAACTTATTCTGTATTGTTCTAATAAAAACCATTGTTTTCGATATGCATATATTTTAATTTTATTCTTTGTTAAAATGTGTACCTGAAATACTGAAATCTTTCAGATCAGCTAACAATACCTTTATAACTTATATAGCCAAGTGTTCTATCTATTTTTGTTCAGATTAAACAAATAATAGGTAAAATATTAGATAAGATTTTTTTAAAAAATATGAGCTTGCCTGTTTTCAAAGCATAAAAAGCAATAAAATAAAGCAAAAGTACTTATTTTTAATTTAAAACCTTTGGAATGCACAGCTTAATGCTTTCCACTAAATATTACAAAGTTTTCGTTCATTAAAATGTTGTTTTATCATCTTTAAAACCAGATAAATCCACGAAACACTCCTAATATACGTCGCCATATTGATTTTCTGCGCGCATGCTCAGACAAATTGCCTACCTGTTGAATAAACCTTGAAAGGGCCTATTGGAGTATTAGTTACACACGTACACCTGGGTACGAGGTTGAACCTGCAATATCCAATGATGCGCAAAATACGCGTTCACCTGTCTACTGATCAACGTCATGTACATGATCTTGAACGTAATGCGGACACGGAAAGTTGCAAGACACAACGTATTAATATTTCGCTCAAACGCCGTATTAATTTTTATACAAAGTTTGACATGCAAAATAGACTATATAAGCTATTTAACCTATACCGCATGAAACGGTACGAAACCACGGAAAAACATTAAATCCTGAAAGTTTGAGCCTTCCTTCCGTGCATGTGTTTTATACCGTCCTCCGTGTTGTTTACTGCTCAAGGTAAGCACGATTTTTAGGTTTATCACTCACTCACTTTCTGTCGATTCTCAAAAGTGATTTAATGACTGACTGGTCCAAATACACACAAATACGCCGCTGCGGTTAAATAGTTAATCAGATATAATTCCTTCTTCTCTTAGTGTTCGCCACTGATTGTAAGAAAATATAACATGTTTCTTAATTCTAAATATAACTGAGTGTTATATTTTATGTAACTTTATGTAAACACTTTGTTCTTTTTCTAGTTATGCAAGTGCGACATGCAATACCAATTGTGATGGGTGCCAACATTGGTACATCAGTGACAAACATTCTCGTGTCTCTTGGTCATGCTGGTGATAGGAATCAGTTCCGACGTGCTTTTGCTGGTGCCACAGTCCATGACGTATTCAACTGGCTTTGTGTTCTAGTGTTGTTACCGTGCGAAATTGCATTTGGTTATCTGTATCGTTTGACCAAAATGATAACGAAAGCATCGGGGGCAAAAGGTGACCAGGAGACAAAGGTTGAATTTCTAAAGAAGATTACAAAGCCGTTCACCAACTTGGTCATCCAGATTGATAAAAAGGTTCTGGAAGAACTCGCAAAAGGAGACGTAGATTCTGATAAAAGTCTTATAAAAAGTTGCAAGGATAAGGTGTTTTTTAATACTACAACGAACACATCCGTGACAGTTGATGTGAAACCGTGCTCCTTTATTTTCCACGACACTGGTCTGTCCGATACTGTCGTGGGCATTATTTTACTTTGCGCGTCCTTATTTATATTGTGCGTTTGTTTGCTAGGTATAGTTAAAATATTACATTCCATGTTGAGAGGTCACTTAGCGGTTGTGGTCAAGAGAACAATTAACGCTGATTTCCCAGGACACTTTAAACACCTCACCGGTTATTTTGCAATTCTTGTTGGAGCAGGAATGACAGTTTTGGTACAGTCTAGTTCTGTATTCACATCAACATTAACACCATTAGTTGGCGTAGGAATTGTTACGATAGAGAGGATTTATCCACTAACACTTGGTGCAAATATTGGCACAACAGGCACGGCTATCCTTGCAGCCTTAGCTGCAACATCGAACTTTGATTCGGCTATTCAGATAGCATTGTGTCACTTATTCTTCAACATAACAGGAATTTTGATTTTCTATCCGATTCCATTTATGCGAAACATTCCGATAAAGTTCGCTAAGAAACTTGGTAACATCACGGCAGAGTACCGTTGGTTTGCTGTCCTATATTTGTTGTTTTGTTTCTTCCTATTTCCGGCTGCAATATTTGGTTTATCTATTGCTGGATGGGAAATCATGCTCGCAGTTATGTTGCCTTTGGTCGCATTATTCATATTTGTTCTTGTCATCAATATCTTGCAAAGGAAGTCTCCAAATGTTCTGCCAAAAATGCTACAGACATGGACATGGGCTCCTACCTATTTCCGCTCACTAAAACCTTACGACAGAAAGATTGCAAAGTTCATTGAATTTTGGAAGGCCTGCTGCCCACAGCGACAATCAAGCAGCAGTAATGACGTTTGTGAAGAAACGTATATTACACAGGTTTGAACATGAGTAACATGAGTAACATGACTGCTAATTTAAAGTTTATATAAAATAAGTTAGTAATTCAAACCAAGAACATACTGCATGTTGTGTGTGACAGATTGAAAAATTGGACGTAAAACTATGTTTGTCAATAGCAATCTGATCAGCCAATCACCTATAACTTTTCCCACGCTGATTGGCAGAATTGAAACCTCCAATGCCCGTTGCAAAAATTGCCAAAAAAGTATGTGGGTTTCCTATTCCTTCTTGTAAGAACTTAGGTAGGGTAGGTCGGTTTTAACTTTTTTTTTAACTTTTTTTTTATTTTTCTAACAACCGGACGCCATGTTTGTTTTGTCATGAATTAATTTAAATTTAAATTTGAAAGTGCAGATGACATGAAAGTTTAAGGAGGAACACAATTTTGACTTGTGTGACTTACAAGTGAGATAGAAAATAAAATAAAATTGAATAGAAATTGCGTAGAAATTCGGTGAATAATAGAAATGTGAAATTTGTATGAAGTGACACGATTTTTTAAGTACTAGTTAAAACATGAGCAGCCGATCTTTATCTGATATCTGATAATACAAACTCGAGCCGAAGGCGAGAGTTTGTACATCAGATAAAGATCGGATGAGAATGTTTTTAAATTAACGTGCTTAAAAACGACCCATGCATCTTATGAGTTCATTGGCGAAGTAATTTTAAAAATAACATTGTCTAAGGCAGCCGAGAAAATCAAAGCTGAAGCTTATGTAAATCAGGACAAATCTTTTCCGATTTACAAACATTGATTAAACATTCATTTCTTTTGAATTATTAATGAGTTTTTTAAGAGTTTTTCGAAACTGGCTATTTAAAAATTTCGCCTCCTTTGCACTTCAAAATAAATTTTATAAAAACTTATTTTATATATTTAATATATAAAATTATGCCCATAGGAAAATTATCGAATTTCAGTTGGTGATATTTTGTATCAGTACAGAATTGCTGTTGTAATATAATAATGTTGTATATAGCTTGTGGATGTGTATCATACTTACATATCAGAAAAAAACTGGAATCGAACCACGTAGACTACTACCATCGAACTACAAGATCTCCTCAGATCGAGCCTCAGATTGTGAAATTACTTGTGCCTTTATCATGGCGATAACAGGGTGACAAAAAAGATATGTCACTGATATAGTTTTTTTGTCACTGCATGATCCCCTATTTTAATAATTGCAGAATTGGGGCAATGATTAATAATATTCTCATAAATTGGATGTATTTATATATACCTAAGCGCGAAAAGGGCAATTGGAACACACAGTGTTTGCCGTATTTAGTCAGAAAGACTTAATTGTCATAAATCATAATCCTTGTGCATACATCCAAGATTTTCGATGGAGAGCGTTCCCATTGCAGTTTTCGCGCTTGGAAAGGTATAAGGTTTAGAGTTTAGAAGGACAGCCTTTTTTGAATTATATATACAAACAGAGCTACATGTACGGTTAGGTCCGGATTGAGGAATTAATTACTGGAAATTAAACTACACGATTTAAGAGGCAGAAGTAGTTGTAGAGTTTTATTATTTATATATGCCAATATAGCTACATAGGCGTAAATATAACGTGATGTAGTAATTAGTTGGCCTGCGAAACTTTATGAATATGTATTTTGGACATTTGTATAGCGGGAGTTGTGTTTGGATGAATTTAATCGGACACATATTTTATGCATGCACACCAAACGTGTACGCCGAACTTTTCATGCGCCGAAAAGTACGATATGTATAGTTAAATTTTGAAATTGTAGTTAAATTTTGAAATTGTTTATTGTTGATGTAAGGTGAATATAAATATATATTATTTTCATGTATTCTTGTTTGTATTTTGTTATCTGGATACGTTTGTTGAACAATATGCATTTATTGCCGACTTGTACTTGTAAAGTGAAACAAGCCAATTGTTTGTTGCGAAGGACGCTCATTGGATTTAATCTGTGTTTCCACTAGTGTAGCCCAGTTGTAGCCTCGACCGAGGGCCTCCTATTTATATTCCAGCGCTTTATCGCATGGGGAGACTAGAACCTAGGGGATTTGGGCGCGGGGGAAGGAAGGGCGACAGTATCCCGCCTCATTACGTCATGAAGTCCGATTAACATCCATATCACTTGCCGAGTATTAAGGCCCTTGGCTGACATAGAATGATTCGTAACCCAAAGCGTTACCGTACTAATTAAATTTTTAGCCTGCGAGCAGGCTCGGCTGCTCGCAGGCTATTAAATTTCGTGACGTTATATAAAGGCATGATTAATTAACAAAGCCAACATGTTGGACATTATTGGATGCAACATTCTTGGCCTCGTTTGAACTTGCATACCCTTCAACGTACCAGGCTGACCGCTCAACCTATTTAAATGCACGAGATAACCTTGCAACTTAACAGCTTAATTAAACATTTTTATTATGATGGCACAGTGTTTCAACTCCATTTCAGAGCCATCATCAGGATGAGACAGGATCGAAACGTGATTATATATACATGAGAGATACCCTCGCAAGTTGATGAATACCCTCACAAAAGAACTCACCGGGTTAGCTGGATAGAAATAGGACTAGGATTGGATTTGGATTGAGCATTCCATTGATTATTGAAAATGAGCCTATTTTCCACTAAGCGAATTTGTTCGGCTAGTACTAAAAAGCGATACAGCGATGCAGGAACCGGAACCTGGAACAGCGCATTATTTATGCAAATTAGAGCATTTTGCACCACAGGAGATATACATGATAATAATTTACAAGGGGGCGGGGGCGCAATTTAAAGATAGTAAAAAATATTCTGAATGAATGAACATCGTTGTAACACTATATTACAAAGTAAAACATGCTTCGTAATTTCGGGGCAATTCTTTTTGTCTGTTTTGATATGACTGCATGTGACACACTTAGTTTAATATTTAGCCGCCGCACTCGTCCCACTTGATTCAGTATGAAATGCCAGCAGACAGGGAAGGAAACCACAACACACAAAGCAGATTGCGCTGAATTCAGCAGCAATTATATTGTGCGCTAAAGAGTTACCTTCCTACCTATTATACTTTCATATTAAATGTATTTTTAACATTGAAGTTACCTTCATAACTTCATTCATGTTTGTGTATTGTCAGTAGTATTGATGCAATCCAACATTGAATGTGCTATATACTCTGCGAATATTGCTAATATTCATTAATCATTATTAAATGTATTTTTAACATTGAGTTACCTTCATAACTTCATTCATGTTTGTGATTGATGTTCCAGCCGGATATTTTTAGCATACAGCATATTCGCAATATTCGTAGCGTATATAGCACATGCAATGTTGGATTGTATCATACACAGTGATACACTAGACTACATTCTAATTACTTTAGCGCACAATTGCTACTGAATTCAGCGCAATCTGCTTTGCCTGCCGTGGTTTCCTTCTCTGTCTGAGCACTGGCATTTTCATAATCAAGTGCGGCGGCTAAATAAACTAAGTGTCACATGCAGTCATATCAAAACAGACAAAAAGAATCGCCGCGCAATTACGAAGCATGTTTTACTTCGTAATATAATGCTACAACGATGTTCATTCAATTGTTTAAAAAATCAAAATCTGGTGCTTTGCATATAATATTTTTACTAACCAACCAACCAAGCAAATGATCCTATTCCCCTCATACTAGCCACTGAAGCCAAAAAAGTCGATATTGAAGTTGATGATGTCAATGATCTAAATTCCACTAACGTTAGTGTAAGCGAGATCTCCAGTCAAAATAACCCAAATCCTACTACCAGACTTAATAAACCATCATATCCAAATACCCAAACTCCGAAACATTTAGTGCCTTGTCCCTTTCTACGTAGAAAGAGACATTGTGTAAAGGAATCTAAATGTGATTTTTCCCACTCTGCTGATTCCCACCGACCTCTGCAGGTTGGCCCGAGTGGTTTTACATCCTCTTTTCGAGTTCCAAGTCCATACCCCGGCGATTTTTCCCACTATATTAATTCCCAGCGACCTCTGCAGTCTGACCCGAGAGGTTTTCCATCCCCTTTTCGGGAACCAAGTCCATATCCCGGCCCTTTGTTTCCACCTGCGATATCTCACCCACTTATGAACCATTTGTACGCGCAGCCTTTCATACAACCCTTACCGACCTTGCAAACCCTAATGGATATGCCCACGAGAACAATCGGATATTGATTAAGGATTATACCCGGAAGACCCGAAATATTAATAACTTGATCTCAATTCCCCTTGTTACTAATAAGAATCCCCCAAAATCCTATGATATCCCGACTATATTATCCACTAATGTTAGATCATTACCAAAGAAAATTGACGAGCTCCAGCAAATTGCAGAGCTAAACTCTGCAAGTGTTATTTGCATTACTGAATCGTGGCTATCACCTGACATTCCTGATCATTGCGTATCTATTCCTGGATTCAACTTATTTCGTAGGGATCGCATAGGATCTTCTGGTGGTGGAGTCTGTGTATATTTGGATCATAAAATACCTTGTAACCGTTTGGATTCATGTGACCAATCTGATGTAGAATCAATTTGGATTTCATTAAGACCACATAAACTCCCAAGAGAAATTACATCCATTATTCTAGGAGTAATATATCATTCAACATCCAATAAAGAACCTGAGAATGTTGTCCTTAGAGACCATGTGCAGAATAACCTTGACTCATTACTCTTTAAGGAACCTAACGCTCTTGTTTTACTTACAGGTGACTTTAATCTCACGTTTACAGGTCAGTTTAAAATGAAATCGTATCACACAGGTGAACCATCTTAAACAACTTATATCTTTTAAAAACAGAGATTCTGCCGTATTGGATTGGCTCTTAGCAAAACCAAATATAGCAATATCATCTAAACAGACTATTACCAAAATTAGAATCCAGGACATGCGGAACTCTGCGTGGTGTGCCTTTGGACGATGGATAACCAAAAAAAACTGGTCATCGGTATTAAGTGCGAGTACGAGCAAAGATAAATTTTACCTCTTTATGTCAGAGCTTGACCAAGCAGTTGATACCTTTCTCCCACAGAAAATGATTAAAAAGCATCCGACAGATCGACCGTGGATTACTAATACGATAAAACTGTGGATTTCTAGACGCCAATGTGCATTCCAACAACAAGGAAAAAATTCTAAAGACTATAGTTTTTGGAGGAATAAGGTTCAACGTGCGATCCAGTCAGCAAAATCCAATTACTTTCATAGTAAGGTAGCAGATGTTGATAGAGTTAACCCTGTAAAGTGGTGGAAAGAGATTAAAAAACTATCAGGTCAAAATATCCGACAGGAATGGTATCAGTTCCTTGATAACAACATGGATATAGAATCCCTAGCTAATAAAGTGAACGACTTCTTTGTTAGTCTTACAGATCGCTTCGCCCCTCTGAGCCAACCAACTCCACCTATGCAAATCCCGGAAGAATTCTTGGTTACGGAAAGTGAGGTGTTTAAAGCATTAGCATCACTGCAAATTAGTAAGGCGATTGGCCCTGATAATATCCCGAATAGAATCCTGAAAGAGTTTGCTCCTGAACTGGCTGCAGTCATTCGTAATATTTACAACCAGTCAATGAAAGAAGCGAATATCCCATCACCACTTAAGTCATCTATCGCAATTCCAGTTCCGAAGATATCACCTCCTCAAACAATTGAAAATGATCTCCGCCCAATCTCGCTTCTTCAATGGCAAAAGTTATGGAAGGCTTTACTTGCACTAGACTATTAAAGGACTTGGAAGGAGAAATCGACCCTCGCCAATATGCCCGCAAAGGGCACTCAACAACAGATGCCCTTCTCTACATGATGCAAACAATTCATGAGGCATTGGGCGTGGGCGAAGCTGGTGCTCGTATCTTCTTCGCAGACTTCTCAAAAGGTTTCGACCTAATTGACCACTCTATTTTAATACAAGAACTGTATAAGCTCCAGGTTCACCCTGCCTTGCTGTCCTGGATCTCAGCCTTTTTATTCAATCGTAGGCAGGCGGTTAGAATTGGTAGTGTCCTTTCTCAATGGCAAACTCTGAAGGGAGGAATACCCCAAGGGACTAAACTCGGAGTGGTACTTTTTATGGTCATGACAAATAGCTTACTGGCTAATTGGCATCTCCGTACAAAATTCGTGGATGATACTTCAGCCCTCGAGATTATTCCTAGGAACTCTATGAGCCTCCTTAATTTTGCAGTCTCTGATATACATGAATTTGCTAATGAACATAACATGAAGCTCAATCGTAAGAAGTGTAAGGAAATGCTTATAAACTTCCTACATAACCCCAATTTCTTACTCCGACCAATCCAAATTGGTAACAATATTATTGAGCGTGTGACAACGTTTAAATCTTTGGGTGTCATTTTGAGTAGCGACCTAAAATGGAATCCCCATATCGAATACATTGTTAAGAAGGCTAACAAAAAACTATACCCTTTAAGAGTCCTGCGAAGAGCTGGGGTTGACCAAAAGAATTTATTGAAAGTGTACCTGTGCACAGTAAGACCTATACTTGAGTACGCCGTCCCTATTTGGCAAAACATTCCGGATTATCTATCGAAGGAAATTGAGTCGGTCCAAAAACGAGCACTAAAGATAATTTTCTCGGAGAGCGAGTCATATGCGGAGGCCCTGAATTTTGCACATGCAACTACCAACTTTAACCACAAGAAGAGTGCAAATATGTCAGAAATACATGGTCAGAATGAGGCGAAAAACCATCCCTTATTGCCAATCCCTGTTGTTCCTGGCCATGACATTAATTTGAGACAGAACACTGATCGATTTTATCTATTTAATAATGTTACTGATTGCAGAACAATTAAAGCTCAATCCTTTTTTACATTTAAATACTCTTAACATGTTAAGAATTTTTTTAATATATATGAAAATTGTAAATAATTATGCATGCACTATTTACTATTTTGGTAAATGCCTAATGATTTTAACTCTTGTAAATAGCCTAGATTCTAAAGCATATCCATGTACTATTTTATAACATATTCTTATCTATTGTAAAGTACTCGTTCATTCAGTTGTTTCTGTAACTGCAAGAGAGTCCTGATAAACTATTATTATTATTATTATCTTTGAATTGCGCCCCCCCTGTAAATATTAATTATTAGTTAATAATTATTATATTTCCTGTAGTGCAAAATGCTCTAATTTGCATAAATTATGCACGGTTCCACGTTCCGGTTCTAGGTTCCGGTTCCTGTATCGTTGTATCGCTTTTTAGTAGTAGGCTAGAACCTAGAAGCCAATTTGTTACGCGACTTTTTAACTTGTCAGCATTGCTTTTCTGACGTGTTACAATTTCTAAGGATGTTGAAGTTTAACAGCATTGTGATTCACTGGTTTTTGAAAGCATCTGGGTTTTTATTGTTGGAGGTTCTAGTCTAACTCTTCAACAACCTAATGACTGTTTTTAAAGCAAAGCAATTGAAAGGAAAACTTATATTTTCATACGAAGAAGATGAGTGGTGATATTTATGTTGGACTGTTTTGAGCAGGTGCTTCGAAGAACATGATATGATCGGACCTTGTATCTTAAAAGTGTACTTGGAACAGCCGAACAAAGTGGTAAATTTTGTTACCCGGTGTGTTGGGCATCATAATTCACAGGAATAGTACACAACGGCGTTTAAACTGGCTATGAAATATCCTGAATACTTCGTCGAGTTCTCTACCGCCATGTGCATGACCTGTAGTTTAATGTGGCACGCTCTTTGAAAGGGTTTTACTTGGCTTTAATCGACGTGTAAGGTCTAACTTAGGCCCCGTTTACACTATACCGGATTACTTTTCATACCGGATTAATTTTTACTCCGAAGTAAAAAACAAGGGTGTTTACACTATGCCGCTTCGCTCTGTTGCCAGCTCATGTCTTTCGCTGTCGCCATGGAAACAAGTAACCAATATACCAAAATTTATTAAAAACAAGAAGTAACACCCGTTTTCTTTGTAAAGTATAAATTTGTTTAAAAAGCTTGACCACCAGACGTTGCTTCGTTTCGCTCTAATCCAAAATTGACGAGTGTTTCTTTAAATTTTGCTCTTTCGAAAGCGAAAAGTCAATGTTATTGTCATTTTCTTCATTTGTCTTCGGCAGAAATAGTAAATGGTTGTAAGGCGAAACAAACAACAGCTATAAAGTATTGTAAAAGCGAGCAAATAAAGGCGACAATGTTAAAACATACACGACAAAACCGATTTTGTACCGGATTCGCCTGTTTGCACTACTCCGGCACCGGATTACTTTTCATATCACCTCCAAAGCGGAGTGATTTTTGCTCCGCGTCGCGTACCGGATTACTGTGGCGTAGTGTAAACAGCAGACGAGAAGCCAGACAGCTCCAGTTTCAGATTAGTCTCCTACGCATACCTACTTAGCGGGCTGAGCCCTCACGTAATAAGGTATGCTTACTTTGGCCAAGAATTCCTTTCCTCAAAATTAGCCAATCACAGCTTTACCCACGAAAATTGTGGGGCTTGACCTTTGGTTTTGACCTTGAGGCTTTGGTCGTTAAACGTTTCAAAACATTTATTAAATCTTGAACATTTTATATATTCATTTGTACGAATTCATATCTTAAACCGATTATATATGCGAGAGCTGAGAGATATATTTGTTATACCGATATACCAGTCTACAAATTTACAATATGGAACAATTGTAAAACTGTTAGAATTTGTCGAGCTATATTGTTTTGAACAGACAGTGTAGAAAAATCGAACAATATCACCTAAAATATTTCGCAATGTTTTGATTACTTTACAAGCGTTTGCAGGTGTTACTGTAACACGGGTAATATACTGGACAAAGACGTCAAGACAAAGTTTTAAAGTTACAGTGTACATTACTGAAACAACCTGTAGCGTTTAGGAACCTTTTGTTTATTCTCTTGTATGGATATTTGCCGATTCGTATGAAAGTTAAACTTTATTCAAATCCTATTAAAGAGATATCAATTACATATATTACGTATAATAATATAGTTATCAATATAAACAAATACCAGTGTGTATAAGAGATACTCCATTCCAATATAAACTTACAAGTTGCACAATCCTGAATAATAATAACCCAATTGTCCCGCAACCATTCACCGTCACTTTAAACTATAAATAATGTAATATTTCCAACGTATTTTGTCCTTATATTTGTCCTGATTTCATTTTAAAAACACATCAACAACTCGTGGTGTTTTCCGCTTAATTCACATCGTTCAAAATCCGATTTAGTTTCCAGTCCTACTAAACTGTAACGCAACGTTTCACCCTCCCGCGCCACGGTTACAACTCTACCTCGGTCTCGCCAGTGCCGTGTTTGTTATCTCTTATTCGTCCCCCTCAACTGGATGGATGACAGCAATTTTCGTGATAGGTCGTGAATATTCACCCGTGGCTGTACGGACCTTTACATTTCGGATTCTTCCATCTGCACCTGGGTAAACTTCTGTGACACGAGCTATCTTCCATTTCCCACGTATGGCATTCTGGTCAGCGACCACAACGATATCATCTACCTGAACATTTCTACATTTAATATGCCACTTCCGTCGGGGAACCATGGATGGAAAAACATCTTGATACCATCTTTTCCAAAAATTGTCTACGATCCGCTGACAAAATTCATATCGATGGCGTGGATTTTTCGTTTCTCTGAAAGGGCCTTGGGGTGTGTTAGTCGATGCTCGGCCAAGCAGGATATCATTCGGGCAGAGGTATGTGCCGTCTGCAGGACCATTAGGAATACGACCAATTGGGCGTTGGTTCAGTAAGTTTGCCGCTTCGAATAATACCGTTTGACACTCCAAAGGAGCGAGAACTTGATCTCCGATCGATTTCTTGAGCGCTGCTTTGGTCACTCGAATAAGCGACTCTGCACATCCGTTGTGATGAGCGGCAGTTGGTGTAACAAATTTCCATTCCATACCCTTCTCGTGTAGGAAATCTTTCAGTTCTGTTGTATCTCTTCCCTCAATGGCTTTCCGTAACTCGGCTTCGGCACCTACTAGTTGACTTCCTCGGTCACTCCACAGACAGCGTGGATAGCCCCGGATGCAGAAGAATCTTCTCAGTACGGGTAAAATACCAGGAGTAG